GTGTGTGTGTGTGTGTGTGTGTGTGTGTGTGTGTGTGTGTATAACATCTTCTTTATCCATTCATCCAGCGATGGACACTTGGGCTCTTTCCATACTTTGGCTATTGTTGATAGTGCTGCTAAAAACATCGGGGTGCATGCGCCCCTTCGAAACAGCACACCTGTATCCCTTGGGTAAATACCTAGTAGTGTAATTGCTGGGTCATAGGATAGTTCTATTTTTAATTTTTTGAGGAACTTCCATACTGTTTTCCAGAGTGGCTGCACTAGTCTGCATTCCCACCAGCAGTGCAAAAGAGATCCTCTTTCTCTGCATCCTCGCCAACATCTGTTGTTGCCTGAGTTACCAAATTGCGCCATTCTGACTGGTGTGAGGTAGTAACTCACTGTGGGTTTAATTTGTATTTCTCTGATGATGAGTGATGTTGAGCATTTTCTCATGTGTTAGCTGGCCAACTGGATGTCTTCTTCGGAGAAGTGTCTATTCGTGTCTTTTGCCCATTTCTTCACTGGATTATTTGTTTTGTGGGTGTTGAGTTTGATAAGTTCTTTATAGATTTTGGGTACTAACCCTTTACCTAATATGTCATTTACAAATATCTTCTCCCATTCTGTTGGCTACCTTTTAGTTTTGCTGATTGTTTCCTTCGCTGTGCAGAAGGTTTTTATTTTGATAAGTTCCCAATAGTTCACGTTTGCTTTTGTTTTCCTTGCCTCCAGAGACGTGCTGAGTAAGTTGCTACGGCCCAGATCAAAAAGGTTTTTGCCTGCTTTCTCCTCGAGGATTTTGATGGCTTCCTCTCTTACATTTAGGTCGTTCATCCATTTTGAGTTTATTTTTGTGGTTGGTGTAAGAAAGTGGTCCACGTTCATTCTTCTGCATGTCACTGTCCAGTTTTCCCAGCACCACTTGCTGAAGGGACAGCCTGTCTTTATTCCATTGAATATTCTTTCCTGCTTTGTCAAAGATTAGTTGGCCGTTTGTCTGTGGGTCCATTTCTGGGTTCTCTATTCTGTTCCATTGATCTGAGTGTCCGTTCAACAGAACAGGTAGGAAACGCTTTAAATATAATGGCACATAATGTTAAAAGATTAAAAGTAAAAAGACGGAAAAGGATACGATGCAAACCCTCTTTCAAAGGAACAAAAGTAGCTATTGTACTTTAAAACAAAGAAGACATCAAAAAAATAAAATGGAAGAACCGCCCAGGATAAACAAAGACATTACATAATGACAAAAGATCAAATCCCCAATAAGCTCCAGCAATCCTGAGTGTGCACACACTTACCACCAGTTTCAAAGTACACGAAGTATGAAGGACATAAGCGAAAGGAGGAACAGACAAATCCTCAGTACTGCCCGAAGGCTTCCAAACTCCTCTCTCGGTTACTGACAGAAGAAATGGAACATCAGAAAGGACATAAAGATGTGGCCAACACCACCAGCGTACCTGCCCTTACTGGCATTTACGGAACACTCTGCCCTACACAGCAGAATATACTCCTCAAGTGCTCAATGAGCACTCACTCCCACGGACCACATCTTGGGCCCCAATACAAACTAATACATGTAAGAGAACTGAAATCAGACAAAGTATGTTCTCTCACCGTAAAGAAATGTCTTTTAAAAATCAAGGACAGAAACGTATCTGGGAAATCCACAAATACTTGGGGGGTAAAAAGCAGAACAGTCCACGGTGCTGGAGAAGCATCCACAAATTCCTCACAACCGGAATGGAAACTCAGGAACTGCAGAAAGTTCTAGAGATCTCCACCCTAACCTGGACTCACCCTCTGAACCACTCACCACCGGCAACCTGACACCTGCCTGCTGACGCGATACAACACGAAGCAGACCCAGCATTCCCCCAACACATTTACTGTATTTAATCAGTCTCCAGAGCAGTGGTTCTCAAAGTGCAGTCGCCACACCAACAGCATCAGCATCACACGGGGTCGCGTCAGGACCAGAAATCCCCGGACCACCACTAGACACAGGAAACTTCTGCCAGCAGCCTACAGCTGGCGTCAGGAGCACTCACACTCTGCTGTTTGAGAAGCACTGTTCCGGGGCTAATTTCACGTGACAAGAAGTATACAAAACCAAGAGCACTGCCCAACTCCAGGAGGTGTTAGTCCAGACACAGGACGCACTACAAAACAGCAGCCCGGACTCCTCAAAACCACCATGTTCTAGAAGCACATGACGGTGATGGCTATACAATCCTGGGGATATATCAAATGCCATTGAATTCTGCACTTTAAAATGGTGAATGACATGTTGTGCATTGTACCACAGTTTGGGAGAAAAGAAATTATTGAGACAACAGAAGATACTTGAAATGAGCTGCAGATGCCATATCAGGAGTTACTGTTAATTTCCTTGGCTGTGACAACAGTGTTGTGGCTTTAGAATCCAGCCTGTCATGGGGAGGCCCGTGCTAAGGGCCCTACCCGCAGAGCACTGAGAACAGGTCAGTGTAGACAGAAAGCCAACGAGGCA